ATTCAATATGAACTATACCATGTTGTGTTAAAATTTTCATTAGATGTAAATAATTTAAGTTTGATTTAGCAACTATCAGTCGACCAACATTTAAAAAAAAAATAAAAAGAGAAAGAAGAGGTCCACCAAAACATTATCTATAGCCAGTGTATCCAAAAAGTATTTGTGGCAAGTATTAAGCAACACTGTATTAAAACTTTGTGAAACTGAGTTTGTGGTTTGCTTGTTGTAGATCTGAGACCATTGTGTTTGAGTGACAGGCCTCTTGGCATTACGCTGTCTCTCTTTTGTACTGAGGAAACAGTGGAAAGGGCTCCACAGCCAGTAATTACAGTTATGTGAAAAAACACATCCCACAAGGAGAACGTCAGGCTTTGGCAAGGGGAAAGTTGTAGATTACATGAGATATCCAAGTGAAACACAAATACACATACACGTACAGCTTTTTGGTCCTGTCACAGTGAAGAAAAAATAGGACCTCTGGGCAAACCACTGACAAGACAGCTGGCAGAAATTTTGATTTAAAGGCCGGAAATTAGTTCAATAAATGTGTGTGCTATTCTCAGATTCACTGTCTCGTACACACCCACATACACACACACACACACACACACAAGTAACAAATGGACCTTAAAGTAGTGCAGAAGAGAATATCTCGTTAGTTAAAGACAGCAACTGAACGGTCTGTGGCCATTTCCCCCATGTCTGTCCAGGAACTGAGCTGCAACACACACACACACACACAGACACACTCTTACCTGTCACAGAGCCGACCAGGAAGACAGAACGGTGCCAAGGTGATGAAGGAAGAGGAAACGTAGAACTCTTAAAAGCATCCAAAGAGTTAAAAAAGAAACCGCTGTTTTGAATGATGAGTCAGGTTACGGGGAGCTCTGACACACGAAACCTAAAAATTGTTACAGAAACTGAGCAGTCATCATTGCCTTGACATCACTATGACCCCAGCCTTGATGCTTGCAGTTTCAAATCAAACCCAAGGTTTCTTTGTCAGCACTGGCTGTCAGGTGAAATGAACACATTAGATTATTTAACCTAAAAGCAGTAAATTAGACTACATCTGAGGAAAAAATAAAAAGCAGAAGGAAATACAATTAGAGGCTTTACAAAAATGAATAGTGTGTGGAAGATAGGAAGAATTAGAAGCAAGCTTCTAGCTTTACTAGAATTCTCTTGATATCATAAAAGAAGCCTCTGCATTTTTATTTAAGACTAAAAACTGGATTGCAAAAAAACAACACAAAATTCAAAATTTTCTGGATCAAACTTGCCGTTGCATTTTTGGGGAAAATTCATCCATTTAGGCAGCAGCAGGGAGAATTTCATGGTTTGAATGTAATTCTTGTACAATTAGTTTTAGAAGCATTTGTTCAGAAATATAAGATTCCCACATGACCTCATGATTGTGCAAAAATAAACTTCAGGTAGTACCACAAGACGTACCACAACCACGAAGATTCTTCATGGCAGTCTGAAAAGTATTTGAGAGATGTAAGTATTTTTAGAAGCGTTTTAAAAAATTATTTTGATGTATTCGGATGGAAACACCTGATATTTCCCTGGAACATTGTTGTTCATTGTGTGAGATATTCTGAAAAACACATTTCCTTCTACAGGCATTTATAATTTACAACTCCTCTTTACAGGGAATAAAACAAAAACTTACTAAAACCAAGAGGCATTGCAGTGGCAGGTCAATGTCACAGATGAGGGGTTCCTCAAACATCTTTACCCATCATCCTCCAGTCACACTCCTGTGGTTTTACTCTGATACTGCTGTAATTAAGCCCCTCAATTCACAGACAATTGAGTGTAAACGGGGCTCTAAGGATTGTTTGTAAGTGGTGAAGCTGTCTCTTTAGTACTTAGGTGTCAGTGGAAGAAAGGAGGTGGTGCTGGTAGCACTGTGTGTGTGTTTGTTTTTGGGATTATGTGGGTATGAGGGGAGTCCAAGTATTGACTTTGAGATTATATCTATTTCATTCACACTGCAGTTCGGGAAAAATGAGGTCTTTCAATATAAACCCTCAAATATCCATCCTAAAGATGGAATACCAAGTGTACTGTGTTGTACTAGACAACTTTTAAAAAAGGTTACGTCTTTAGTGTATAATTTCTGATATTATCCTAATATTAATTTAAGATGACCCTATAGTGCTCCAAAAATTATTTTACCATCTTGAACAGAACAGAAGGCTTGCGTATCTTATGGCTGAGTAAATATACTTGAATTTACAAAATGCTGATGACTGCATTCCAGTAGTACTATAAGAAAGCCTTTGTTTTACTCCCTAGCAGAGTAGAGGCATTCATTACTTGCAATAAAGTGTAATGCCTGTTGTGCTCCAAAAGCACCATATTATTTAGAGAGTTGTAAATAGACAGCAGTGGTAGTACAGGGTACGAGTTTACAGTTTTACTGCCATGTCATGACAGTCTTTACTTTCCCAGGTTCCAGTTGAAAATTATAATGAATTCCAACTTCAAGAGGAACTCGGCATAATAATGGCAAGTAACTCTCTGTCGTTCACACGATATCTGAAGCTTTAAACGTGAGGCTTGAGGTAATATTCCTGTGCTGGTACTTTCATCAAACAACAGACCATTTGCATACTCTAATGCATTAAATTATACACCAACTTTGACTGAGATGCAAAAAGACTCAGTTTAACAAATTAGTCATCTTGCACAACTCATATTTATTTGCTATCCAGTGCTGTTCATCTGATGTTAAAAGAGCACCTAGATTTTTTTAAAAAAATCTATAAAAATTCTTAAACCTATTAAAATCCTCTTTTAGTACAGAAGCTCGACTGTGCTAAACTAACTCTAGAAATCAATTAGTTTACAGTTTCAGAATGTATTTGGACAACATGAAGTTAAAATGTTATTCAACACTTCTTTAAGGTGAAATTACACAACAATAAATTACATTTTACATATAAGAGAATAAAGTAACAACACTTCAAAACAAGCAAAATTGCCACTTTCTGTGGGTAGAATGCCCTCCTGTTCTCAAAATCTCCTGAAATTCATTTTAAGCACCCAATTTATTCTTCTTCCTCCCACGCTTAGAATTCATGTGTCTGCATCTTCGCATCACACTCTAACAGGCCTCTCCCGGCAACAGATAAGACAGCAAAATCTTGGCCAACAGTCATAAAGCTGGGCATTGCTGGTGGTGCCTGGATGTCGCCACGACAGCAGTAAAGCAGCAGCCTTGTTGCTGACATGTCTGTAATTTCCGAGACTGTGCAGCTAATTCTGACCCAGCTATCATAAAGTGGAGTTGGAATGCAACCTTTGGTCGACAGTGCTGGCTTAAGCAACTAACAGGGGAACACACCCTGCTTATATACACAAAATTAAGTATTAATGCAAGCATATACATGAAAGTATACAGTAAAGCCTAATTACCAAGGCAAGCAGTATTATTAGAAATGCACAATGACAGTGGACCAGGGATCTGAATCAAGAGAAAGTTACCTGATAATTTTAAATTCCATGTATTTAGAAGTTAGCATGGGGCATGAAATGTCAAAAAAATTGAATTGAAAAAGTTAAATAAAAAAATAAATAAAAAGTAATCATAAAACATATGATATGGTTAACAATTATCACCTTTGCCCTTTGGAAGAAAGACTGTTGTGATCCTAGTATGGGAAAAATTTAAAATAAACATTAACCTGACTTTCTGTTGCAAGTCCGTATGAATGAAGTTCACATGAGCTGGCAGAAATAAATAAAGTTATGGATTATTAAAACTAGAGCAATCCACATTTGTGTGTGCATTTATAAAGATCATAAGAAATAATCAAAGCAATATAGCTGTAAACCAACTCTCAGTTTTCTGACACCTTTTATAATGAGCACTGCACTGGTGATCCAGCTTATGTGTTGAATATGGTTCTCTGTTGGCACTGCGTTGGCAGACAGTAGGGAGCTATGGACAGGCTCTTTTACCTGCAGAGAACGTCTCTTGCCAGATGGAGGCAGTGTCTAAAGTATGTGGTACAATTAGTCTTTGGGATGCTGTTCCTCAGGTTGCCGTTGGCCCTTCAGGCAGGCCTGGAGAAGAGCTGAGGGAAAACAGTGTTAAAAACAATGAAGTGTCCACTGAAGCCACTGTCTGTGCTTTTCATGCTGTATTTTTGTGTTTGTTTGTTTGTTTTTCTTTTTTGTTCTTTCTTCCATTGTTGGTTGGTTTCCATCTCTGTTCCAGTCTACTTTCAGCCAATCAGCTTACACACAGTTTCATGATGTTGGGTTTTTAGAGGACTGCACAGGAGCATGTTTGTGTCTGCATAGGCCCACTGTAGACTAATACCTGCACAAATACACACAACTGCCTACAACAAGTATTGCAAGGCAGTAAAACAATTGACATGTATACCTAAAGTGTGGAGTGCTCTTTGCTAAAAGTAAATCTTGCAATGTGGTATAAAATCCCTGGCCATAAAATGCCTCTTGGCAGTTCAGTGGATGGTTAATTGGCAAAATGTTTCAAAATAACTTTTCTTTTGATGGTCATTGTAACAATAAAAGGGAAAAAAATAAAGTCAAATCAAATTAAAGCAGCTTAAACTTCCCAATTTATGCTTCAACTAACACTTACTTTACAAACATTACTTTATTAATATGGACCACAGCCTGAAATACTGACCCAAAAATTTATGTTTATAAAAAAGTAAAAATATCTACAAGTACTGAGATTGACTGTTGAAATAGCTGGAAATAATAATGGTAAGAAATAAAAGTAATGGCTAACAGGCTGAACTGCGACTAAAAATAAAAATAGAGTAAGTTCAATTATTTTAATTAAATGTTTTAGTTGGTGAACAGTTTCGCCAATATGATTGATAGTTAAAAGTGTTGAAAACATTTTCAGAATATTCACCTACATGAATAAAACTGGAGTGATGCTGAGCAGGCAGTTCGCTTGTACAATAAAGATTCATTCAAAAATCATTCCATTCATCAGATTTTTAAAATTTGAATCAGTTTTATTAAATTTAACAGATTCAAAGAGCACTGAAGAAAAAAGACCCAAAACAACTCCTAACAAAATAACAGTTCCTTACATATTAACAAAACACAGATAATAAATTTAGATAATAACGTTTACAACAATTTCACACTTTGTTTTGTCTTCGATTTTTGAAGAAAAAAAATAATTGCACTTTCATTAAGATCAAATTTTAGAGCAGTAAAATGGTAAAAATTCTGATATGTCATCATGTCAGAATTAAAATGACTGCTCCTGGTTTTCAAATAACTCTTGCAGGATGCATTTTATCTCTTCTGTTTCTTGTAAAAATAAATCTACCATAATCTAAGCATCACCACTTAGACACATAGAGCACAAAAGCCATTCTACATGGAGAACAGTGGGTCATAACTGGCTGGTTTTAGTGTCTACAATGACTTTTAACAGTCCTTATCTCAACACAAATAATGTGCCTATAAAAGTTAATTATCTACAAGGGAATGAGACATGTTCAACAGCCATAAAGGCATTTTCTGGATTTCTTTCTTGCAGTGACAACAACATGAAAACATGTTCTTGAAAACCTCATAGAAAACCATGACATTTTATCACATTAGTGACAGTAAGGAACATGAATGAAACTGTTATGAGGAGTCTTTGCAAGTTGCTATGACCCTTAGGTTTTAAACTTTAGTAGCATTAATAGCTATATGAATAACTGCATATTCAATGTGCCACGTGTTTCTTACCTATAGAAGAGGTGGCACCCGAGAAACAAAGTCTGGAGCTTTTTTTAAGCAATAAAAAATATGATCTTGTCCAAAACTAACCAAGTTGTTTTGTGCATAACCATTAACAACAAACTTTGCTTTCCCCTCTGACGATTTCAGACTGAAGCAACGAATGACCCACACGAAGTTGGATGGAAGTCATAAAAAAGGGGGCTAAAGGAGTTAAAGCTCATAAAATCAAACTCAATCATCCTTGCATTGGTTTGCTGTGTAGATTATTGCCAAAAACAGCAATATCTTTTAGCAATAGGTAGTAGTTGTTGTCCCTCTGAGGAAATGAAGTTGCTAGATATGAGTTTAGAAAAGCCAGGGCCAGTCCAGAGTCTTTGGAAAGCTCACATGCATCCTTCAAAAATGCAGTCCAGGAGAGCCGTTTATGCTTCCATTACATAGCCAGTGTGTTACAGTATATAATATAGAAAATACATTAGATGTCCTTAGAATGAAATTGTACAGTCCCTTTTGATAATAGTGGGTCATAACTGTCTGGTTATGACCCACTATGTTGGCCCTCTACAGCTTCAGAGTTGTTAAGGAGAAGTTTCAGGATGGTGGGATAACCTTACTGATCAATCAAGTCGGGTCAGTATTGCCCTTACGGCAGAGCTTATTCATGCTTGAGACAGCGCACACCAGGAATTCTGTGGAGCCAAGGAGGTCGGAGTAAATGGAAAATCCTCATATTTAATGTCCACGTGTCCTGAGGCTGTGCTGTCCAACTGAGAAGCAGTCTACGGGAATAAAAGACATTCAAAAAATTACTAAACCTTTTTTTTGTTTTTTACAAAATGAGCATCATATTTTGCTCAAAATTACCGGAAACTAGCCATTTCACCCACAAACCTATCAACAAAGTTGTGAGGTCTAATAAGGGCAGTCAGTTTTCCCATAGATTTCTATACAACCAGATGTGTATTTGCATCCAGAGAAGTCGCTCTCTACTGACCATTGGAATGATTGAAGGTTGAAGGCATTGTGTTCACTTTTCATACCCAGAAATTTCACCTATCTTTATATGCTACTGCATGTCAAAAAATGTCAACATTGTCAAAGTTTCTGTATTTAGAACTTCATTAAAAAAAGGCAAAGTTTCATATATTTATATATTTCAGCCTTTTGTTTTGAATTTTGATGATTAAAGCTATTCAAAAATCAGAAACACAGTATCTCAAATTACCAGAATATTTCAGAAGATCAATCAAAAAAGTATTTACACCAAAAATTACAGAAATATTCAACCTCTGTAACATATGTTCATTTCTGTACCAGTGGTTGGTTGAGGCTCCTTTCCTATGCTTCCTATCAGAGCATTGTGGAAAAGAGGCAATCAACTTGTGGAATTGCTTGGATATTAATTAAGCCCAGACTGCCTTGGGAGCAGCCATCTTTACTTTTGAATTTTACTTTTGGTATTCATCTTCCTCGTGACAATACCAGTGATTTGTGGTTAAGGTCAGGGGAGTTGGTTGGCCAATCGAGCACAAGCAAACAAACCATTGGGAAATAGTTTTGGCACTGTGGGCAGGTGCTGATTACTTGTGGAAAAGGAAATTGGAATCTCTATAAAGCTTCTACAGTGTCTGCAGATGGGACATGTTCTAAAGCAAGTGTCTAAAATCGTGTGGCTGTGTCCAATTTCAACTAACAACCACCAACATCAACCAAGAAATCAAGAAAGACTGAAAACTTCACACTGCACTTTAAACACCATCAGTTCTTCGGCATGTCACTCTTTTTATGAGCTGTAAGCGATATTCATCAAAACAAAAAGGATTCATTTATTATACTTCATATAAAATGAATGTGGAATATATAATAAACCTTATATGTTTAAATTACTACTAAACAAACCACCATAATCAACATAATATTATTTTATTAAAGAAAAATACTAATAAATTCTATGGACGTAACTGGCTAGCTGACCGATTGGACTGGGTAGTGCTAGTATCCCCGGAAGTAACGATGTTAGTCAATTGCAGACATGCTCTTTCCACCCCTTTAAATTTATTGATTGAAATCTAATGTATTAATTTAATGTTTCTTTAAGTGGTTCCCAAACTTTTTTTGTTAAGCCCCCCTTTGTTTTACAAAAAAAATCTTCGCGACCCCACAACACCTAATCCCACCCACCTGCCCCCCCAGCACAAACACATCCTCCAGCCACACACACCCATATTTTGTTTTCAAACTCCATTGCGGGTTATTTCACACCTCAAACATTTAGTAAACAATTACATGAATAAAAGTAAACTGCAATAAATTACAGGTAGCAATGAAATAAATTAGCCTACTAACTCTTTTAGACTACGTCCACGGTATTTTTGAAAATGCAGTTTTTTCTATGGGTTTTCGAATCACCAAAAAATGCGATTTTTTTTTTATAGACTCCCTATTTGCGTTTATGTGTGGACGAGGAATACAGAGTTCGTCACGTAACGTCAAAGGTATGTGCCTTTTTTCACGTCACGCTGTGCGCCACGTTATTGTTTACATGAGATAAATTTCTACAATGGCAGATAGAGACAAAATACTGTTAATCTATCTGCAGTTTTTACAGGCTTACATATACACACGCAGTTACTGTCCCTCCATTTAGAAAGACAGAGGCGTCATGGTGTGATTATTTTACGTGTAGTTTTTTTTCATGTGTAATAATATTCAACATTGCTATCAATACATTTTTTAAAAAATGCCTCTCTGTCCAAAATGGGTTTAAAAACATAAACAGCTGTGGGATACTGTTTGTCTGTGATTTGGACAGGGGGAACAAACTGTGGCAGGATCAGCCTGATATTATTTGTATCCTGCTGTAACTTTACTGTATAAAGAGCAAACATCTCCAAAATTTCAGGAGTAGTTAGTCATTACAACAAGTGTTTGTGAACTAAAAATCAAGAATGTGGGATACTGTTTGTCCGTGATTTGGACAGCCCAGCGCGTGCTCCCCGCGCAGGCGGAAGTAATTCTGTCGCAGAGACCTACCTTGGCACTTGTGCAGGTGAAGCCAACGGGAAGATATGCTTCACCATATTTTCTAGTTTTTGGCTTGGAAGGAAGTTGGTTTGGAAACATTTTAGGCGATGCTTCATCTCCTGCTTTGCGTTTGTGTGGAAGCCCATCAAAAACCTGTCCATTATGCTAGCAGTGTCCAAGCGTTCTTTTTTTTTCTTTTCATACGCGCCCCTCCTGCAATGGAGGGCCCCACACTTTGGGAACCTCTGCTTTAAGCAATCTAGGCATAACATTTCCTTAAAGTAACTGAATGAATGGAGTCATGTCGATGAATGCATGTGATTATAGCACATTAGGCTCTATATCCCCTTCATTGACAAGTTAATTCGGATCCAGTGGATTAAACTGCAAAAAGAAACCTGTGAAGGTTTGGGAGTAGAAGAGCAAGCAAAATCCTTCAGACTTAAAACATTTATAGGTTCACGACCTGGAATTTTTAGTCACCTCTTCTTTCACATCTCTTTTTGTGAGTATGACAGAGCTCAACGTCTTAAAGATGGTACTTCCTACAATCACTTTTGTACCATTGCTCTTATTGAAATGGTTTTAGCATGTTTGAATCAAGCTGAAAAGAGCATTTTCATAAAGGTCAGACATTTCTGAAGGACCCTTAACAGCTTGAGAAATTCCAAATATTGACAAGCCATTGGCAGAGGGATATGGGAGAGACATCTAGACAGATATTTTTCACAGATGCTTCAGCAAATTTCATGTGCCGCTTACTAGCCATATGCAAGGACAGTTTAAAAAGAAAAAATAGATGCATTAAAAAAACACAAAAGAATAGCCAAAACTAAAATCTGTTGAGCAGTTGTTTAAATAATTGCTGCTCAATTTAGTCTCTACACAGTCAAATATAGAATTTGCATGGAAAACCTTTTACCTGAGTGGCAGATGTGACAGTCTGTCCAGCATAGGGTGATGGGGCCATGTTGGGTTCACTCTTAATAGTGGAAGCGTGCTCTGAGACTGACAGGGAGGTTGGGGAGCCGGTGTCAGAGGTGATAGATCCTGGAGAATCAGCAGGATGATAATATGAGCTATTATTATGTTAATACACTGAGGTGCTTTTCAGAATGGTTTGCAGATTCTGAAAAACTTTTAACCCAGAAAGGGTTAGAGAAAGCAGATTCTCAAACAATTCTGGCATAATCTTTTTGTTTTTCTTGTTTATTTCATTTCTTGTTAGTAGCTACTCACATGACTGACACTGCTTTCATTAACCAGCTTTTTCTTCTACACAGCATCCTTCATATTTTAGTGTCTGTTTGACCTACCTGTGGATGTTTTATTCTTGGGCATCTTGGGTTTCCGCTTCCTTGTCTGAATGCTCTCTTTCTTCATTGCAAGAGGTCTGGGCACCTGGAAGGAATACAGCAACACAAATAAGTTGAGTCTACCTCCCAGGCCCTAATACAACAGAGGCTACAGTGTCATGACAACCCACACAACCTCTCCTCCCACACTCTGATAACAGTGACCACAGTGCCCTTGGAGAGGTTTTACGCTGTGCAAATAATGAGCTGCTCCCTGCTGGAGCAAGAAGCTTGCTGAAAGAGCCTTTTAGCATGGCCTACCCCATGTAGCTTCATGTAGAGGCCACAGGCATTGCAGACAGGTTCTCCCTCAGCGTTGCGTCTCCACAGTGTGGTGGTGCTGGTATGGCAGTTAGTGCAGCACAAGCCAGCCCGGCGTGATGTGGTCTGCTGCAGGAGGACATATTTGAATGGTAAATTATCAACTGTCTGAAATCACAGATCACATCTTGAAGTAAGGTTTGAGAAATTGGCGTTAAGCTGTTCCCTCAACTTTTCCAATGAATTGCAGGATGCTGGTATGTTTGGTATAACAATGATGAATGCCCCCAGGCCCATGCAAAAGAGAAAATAATAACTCATTAGCTGGGCAACATGTAAAGGCAACATAAATAATTCTTTCAAGTGTGAATATCTGTTTGGTTTGGGGTGAAACAAAAGCAGCAGCAGAAAATCCCGTTGCTAAGCAGAAACTTGTCTAAAAACAGCTCAAATCAAGGGCAAGGTCAGCACAGGACAAATAAAAAAGCAGTAAAAAAAAGCCCTGTTGTGGAAATAGTTTGTTGAGTAGCTGACAGTCACAGTTGCTCTGGAGCTGGAAGTTCCTGGGAAATACAGAGCCCTTGAAGCCTCCATGCACTAACAATGCCGTTCACATTTTCTGAATTATTACTAATCAATATCTCCTTTAACCTCCTAGGACCTGGCGTCCACATATGTGGACATCACATTTTGGGTTATTTAGACCAAAATACTCAGTTTTGGTCTACATGGGCCTGATATCCACTTACGAGAACATTATACTGTTACTGTTCTATCAAAATTTTAAACAAATATCCTCATATGTGGCTCTCATTTTTCTTAAAAACAAAAATAGGGTTAAAAAAAATCTGGTAATTCTTTGTTTTTACTTTCATCAGGCCCCAATGTGACCAAATATCAAAGAGAAATTAAAAATGCATGCCGTGGAAGAGTTCGGGTCTTAGGAGGTTAAAACGAGAAACAAGATATAATAGATCTACCAAAGAATCTGGGCATAAAGACCTAAGTCACATGATAAAAATAAAGTGTTTAATAAGTGTCTTATTGAAGATTTAATACTTTGACAGTGATGCATTTTTGCTTATCTTGCTGATTACCAGTAATTCATTTCAACATTTAACTTTATACACTAATAACAAAATAACTTGGCCATTTAAGGAAAGCATGGGTGTTATCTGAATCCCTGCTTAGCTGCTTCAGTCGTCCCCTGTTTTCTCCTCATTGTTATCAAGTCTTTGCTTATTTTGGATTTCTTTTCATAATTGTGCATTAAGATACTTTCATTTTTATAAATGAAATGTCACTGGAATAACTGTTTTAAAAAAAAATAATATCAGATTACAAAAACAAACTGAAAATTTTTATATTATATTTTTATGATAAAAATTTTCTTTTTCTTTATCCCAGCTTCCCCCAGATTGATGATTTGCTGTATTTATATCAGTATAAATAGAACATGTTTGGTTTTAAACTGTAGACTGAAGAAAAACAGTCTTAACATAACTGCAGGTTCAGTTTGTAACCAGCTTGTCAAAAGCTATAAAAGCAATAATGTGCAATGTAATTTCCATTTGATGAGTAAGCCATGAGAGAAAGTTTCACAACAGAGTGTTTATTCTCATTATATTACAGTCAAATATGGTTCCAGGCACTTAAATGATAATTGTTGCATGGAGTTACCCCAGTTTGATGGAGGAGATGTTATGCCTGTTCGAAGATTTTAAGGACAAAATAATTTCAAAAAGATGTCTAGAAAGGAGCCTCTGGAGAAAAAAAATGGAACACAACAGCTTACAGTCTAGAAAAAATGTATAGTTGTTTACCTTTGAGGTAAAAATATAAGTGTGTCAGAGATGAATTTGCATCTTTATGCTTTTTGATTATCTGCTGGTAAATTAAGGTTGTTGAAAAAAATATTTTTTTTTTATTTCTTGTTAGAATGAATAATAATCTTTTATTTTCAAGACCGTTTTCTTTTTTGATCGCTTTGATTGTTTTGCTGACTCTGCTCTCCTCTTGCAACACACAATCCGTGTGTGTACCATCCATTGGAAAAAAAATCGGAAAGGTCCCCGCATAGTAATAGTATATGTATTTTTTTAAATTATTGAATATTTGAATATTAATGAGGATTACATTTACTGATGATTTCCAATGCTATATCTGGTTGAAATACCGGAAATGATTTTATAGTTTAAATTACACCAGACGATCAGCTAAAAGAAATCGATAAATAAACAATTTGGAGTCTGTTGAATGGCAGAGTGGTTTGAAAAATGCAAATCATGAGGTAGGCTGACTCGGTATCGCCCAAGTGTAATATAGGCTACATAGTTATACTTTTTTTTAAGTTCTATGTTTTTTCGATCTATCGGCGAGTCTTACCAGTCGTTTCTGCGGCTTGATGAGGGGCCTGTTGATGCCGTTCATCTTGTGATAGAGGCCGCAGGCGTTACACAAGTAGTGCCCGGTCCCGTCTCTGCGCCACAGCGGGGTCGACACGGAGCCACAGTTGACGCACTCCCTGCCCTCCGTGGGCATGTCGTCTATCAGGTCTGAACACAGACAGGGAAAACGCACATTAGACTGAATACATGTACACATATACCATAACTCTGCACATTACATGATTATTTCATGGCTGTTGGCCAGTTTATTTCATTTGAGTTTAGGAGATTATTTAGGCCTAAACGTTTACATGGTACCCGTGTTCACTTCCAGTTTGTCCAACGTGACCAATCTCTGACAATCTCTAACACTTCTTATCTCCGTGGTTTCACGACGTTTTGGTCTCTCTGGTACCCTTAGATGAATACATTCAAAAGACTACATGCCTTATTACAACACCTTCTTCTGAACTTTTACAGCGTACGCGGGCGTGCGTGGCGCTGTCGTGGCTACGGTCCAGTGCCTGATGAATAGCCAGGGAGGAATGTAACCCGCCACCACGCAACCCCCACCCCCCATCCCAGTCCGTATGATGAAGGGCGCTCAAACGCATGCGAATGAATCAAATAGAGGAATTTGTTTGG